GGCGGCCGGCCCCGCCTTGCAGGTGCTGGCCACCAGCGACCTGAAGGACATCGAACCGCTGGCCGCGCAGATCAAGTCGGCCACCGGCGTGGACGTGCAGTTCCGCTTCGGCGGCACGATGGAGAGCACGCAGGAGGTGCTCAGCGGCGACAGCGCCGGCAAGCCTGCGCCCGACGTGGCCTGGTTCGCCAACGCCAAGTACCTGCTGAGCGACGCGGCCGGCCAGCGCAAGGTCAAGCTGCAGGAAAAGATCATGCTCTCGCCCATGGCCGTCGGCGTGAGCCGCAGCGATGCGGAAAAGAACGGCTGGACGAAGCCCGACGCGCGCCTGACCTGGGCCGACATCACGCGGGCTGCCAAGACCGGCAAGCTGCAGTACGCCCTCTCCAACCCGGCCACGAGCAACCAGGGCTTCATGGCGCTGCTGGGTGTGGTGGCCGGCGGCGGGCGGCAAGGGCGAGGCGCTGACGGCCGGCCGACGTGGACCGCCAGCGCGATTCGCCGACTTCCTCACCGGCTACAAGATCGTCGGCGACAACTCGACCTACCTGGCCGAACAGTTCGCCAGGCAGCAGGGCACGCGCGCCAATGCCTTCATCAACTACGAGAGCTGGCTGCTGACGCTCAACGCCAGCGGCAAGCTGCGCGAGCCGCTGCACCTCATCTACCCGTTCGAAGGCGTGTCGACGGCGGACTACCCGTTCATGCTGCTGAACGACGCCAAGCCGGGCAGACTACCAGAAGGTCGTCGACTACCTCAAGGAGCGACCCCGCCCAGCTCTGGCTGGCGCGCCAGACGCTGCGCCGGCCGATCAAGGCCGAGGTGGCCGCTCAGGTGGCCGACCTGCTGCCCGCCCGCGGCATGCAGGTGGAGTTGCCCTTCTCGCCTGACCGCCAGCTCGCCGACGGCCTGATCGACGCCTACCTCAACGAGTTCCGCCGCCCGATCGCCGAGCACCTTCGTGCTGGACACCAGCGGCAGCATGCAGGGCCAGCGGCCGCGAGCAGCTCGTCGAGGCCATCCACTACCTGGCCGGCGCCGACGTGTCGCTGACCTGGCCGCGTGGCCAAGCTCACGAACCGCGAGCGCCTGTGGTTCCTGCCCTTCAGCGACCGCGTGGGCGAGCCCATCCGTTTCGAGATCCCGGCCGGCACGCGCGTCGCCAAGGGCGTGGCGCCGCAGGTGGACACCGACGCCAAGCTGGGCGAGCTCAAGCGCGTGCGCGACACCGCCGACGAACTCCGCATGGCGGGCGGCACCGCGCATGTACGACTCCGTGCTGACCGGCCTGCAGAACATGCTGGAGGAGCGCAAGCGCAACCCCGACTACCAGTACTCGGTCGTCGCCTTCACCGACGGCAAGAGCAACATGGGCCGGCGCCTGGAAGACTTCAAACGCGCCTACGAACAGCTGCCCGAGGACGTGCGCGGCATCCCCGTCTTCATGGTGCTGTACGGCGAGGCCGCCGAGGGCGACCTGAAGCAGCTCGTCGCCATCACCGGCGGCAAGGTGTTCGATGCGCGCAAGACGCCGCTGTACGCCGTGTTCAAGGACATCCGCGCCGTACCAATGAGTGGACTTCTGCGATGGCTGAACGCACCGGCCAACTGGTGCGGCCTGCTGGCGGCGACCGGCGTGCTGGTGCTCAAGGCCCTGGGCCTGCTGGGCACGATGGGCCTGGGCGTGGCCGCACTCGGCTACGGCGCGGGGCTCGC